GTTTTAGACGTCAAGAGCTTCGATAGAGACGCAATATAAAATACCACCCACTGATCTGCATTGATTTTTATGCATAGAGTTTAGTATTGCTAATTTTGTCAGAACTTGATAAGCATGTGATAGTTCGGTCAGGTTTTAAGTAATAGTTTCAGCTGCTGTTCTGCCCACTTAAATAGTTCTGTTTTGTGGGTATCGTTAAAAAAATATATATTCGTTCTTTTTGTAGTGAAGTTCGATTTCAAACTTCTCGTCGACTGGATATAACGAAATTTGATGACTTTATTTCCAGATAATGACTGAACTATTACGTGATAGAGATTCAACAAGCAGTTCGTTGAAACAGGTCTGGGTTTATCATTAACTAGCAACCCTTTTCGAGGAAATGGTGATAAATCGTAAACTTTCAAGCAAATGGGCTAAAAAACAATATTTTCTATTCAGATTTACATGACAATTAGATTAAGCTTCGATTCTCTCAAGTCAGATTACATACTTATGACATGTCTTGACACATACATTTTGTCACCACAATGGGCATCAAAATCCTGCTTGATGCCAAAATAAGAGAAAGACTAGTCGATATTACACGCGTTGTAGCAGATAATGGCGATGTAAATATGCATTGCACCTATTGGCTTCAGTGGCTTCACTACATGCCATTTCGTGGCAAAAGGAGAGAGAGGGGGAGAGAGAGAGGGAGAGAGAGAGGGAGAGAGAGAGGGGAGAGAGAGAGGGAGAGAGAGAGGGAGAGAGAGAGGGAGAGAGAGAGAGAGGGAGAGGGAGGGGGAGGGGAGGGAGGGAGAGGAGAGAGAGAGAGAGAGAGAGAGAGAGAGAGAGAGAGAGAGAGAGGGGGGGGGGGTGCCTAGCGAACATTGCGAATATCTCACAGATAATGCATCTCACAGTGATAACTTTGCAGGTCTCAAAAGTTGATGTTCTCCCGATGAAACTGCACTAAGCAAGGAAATCTGTCCCATACGTCAAAATGTGAGGGTGTGTGCGTCCAGTGGTGTTCACAGACCAACTGCCCCTAAATGTTTTGCTTATCTGAACTTCCATCTATAACATAAACATCAATATTTTCACATTAATAGTCTCATCTCATGATTGCAGTGCATTAACGAGGATACATCGATACTTATGTTACATATTAAATTTTTAAACTAACAAAACATTTAGCAAACGCCTTCTTCGAGCAGTTAGTCTAAGAACACCTTTGTTGGACACGCTTACCTTCATACTCCTCTGTGCCGTAAAACCTCAAACAGCACACCAGGAGAATAATTTTCAACTGAGAACCCACGAATGAGCGCGGACGTTGCCAATCCAATCAGTTCCACCAACAGTTTGCTATCATGGATGGCTGATGACACAAGTCCTAAATCCCTTGTGGTGTGAGGCATGAGGTCAGCCTCAAGTGTTACAAGATGTCCCATGAAAAAGGGAAAGACTCAAAACAAGGAAAGAGTGAGGATGCTACAGAAACAGGTAATGGCTAGGGATGGAGCATACTACAGCAGTGGTACAAATCAATGGCCATATTGCACCAGCATTTAATTATATCTGCTTCGACATTTTATAGACGTGGATATTAAAATATGCCCCGCGTTACTTCACATATTGCCTATGTGACATACCGATATACCGTAAATCATCACAACTCTAAAGAAACGTATATAAATCTTTATTGTATATTCTCACATAACGACAAAACCCAATCATAACTATCATCAACTAATAATAACAACTATCATCAACAAATAAATAATACAAATAACAAATACTAATAACTATCATCAACAAATCATAAATATCACAACTCCGAAAACAACAACAATAAAAACACCCGCGTTTTTTTTTCTTTCTTTCTTTCTTTTTTTTTTGGCCGCAAAAGGGTATATAAAATTACTTTCTCGTTACCAATCAATAACGTATTCAAGTCGCAAAGGTTTAAAGGTTTCAGGTGACATTTGACGTGGAGGCGGAGTGCATGGCAACTGGACGCCAAGAGTAGAAGAGAGAGCATTTATACTGGGCAAAAGGTCAGCAATCATTACACACATTCACTATTATCCAAACAGTCAATTTGTGAGAGAGAGAGAGAGAGAGAGAGAGAGAGAGAGAGAGAGAGAGAGAGAGAGAGAGAGAGAGAGAGAGAGAGAGAGAGAGAGTGAACGTGAGTTTTTGTGTGTACAAATAAATAAATACACATATATATGTACAAATACACAACGATATATATGTACATATAATATAATATATATATACATATATATATATATATATATATATATATATATATATATATATATATATATATATATGTATATATATACTCACATAATTCTCACTGAAAGGTAAAATCAATCTCGAATGAGGTAAGTAAATGATGCAATAAAGCGGCAAATTAAATCCATGCCCATTTTTTTTTCTCTAGCTTCATCGGTTACATATCAATACCTTCTGTGCTAATGTACATGAATACCTGTATACAAACAGATACACACACACACACACACACACACACACACACACACACACACACACACACAGATTCATTAACTCCTAAAACAATACTCTCAATACACTGTACTCATGTATCGTAACCTTTAAAGGTCTTCAGAGATCTATTTTTATCGTATTTTTCCATCCCCGATGTTTTGAATTTTGTCTTTTGGCTTTACCTGAGTACATGGCGCACTTAGACCAAACGTTTCCAGTCTAACATTTTCCGTAATGCGTTATTTTTTTCCGTGTTCAGTGGCTGGTCATATCGGCTTTTGTGCACGATTCAAAAACTCCTAGTTTAACGGACAACAGTGATAGAATATATTAACGTTCTCTCTCTCTCTTTCCCTCTTTCGTATGTATATGTGTGTGTGTGTGTGTGTTGTGTGTGTGTGTGTGTGTGTGTGTGTGGTGTGTGTGTGTGTGGTGTGTGTGTGTGTGGTGTGTGTGTGTGTGTGCGTGCGTGCGTGTGTAAAATATAATATAATATATAGTAATATAATATATACATATATAGTAATATAATATATACATATATAGTAATATAATATATACATATATAGTAATATAATATATACATATATAGTAATATAATATATACATATATATATATATATATATATTATATATATATATATAATATATATATATATATATGTATGTATATATATACTCACATAATTCTCACTGCAAGGTAAAATCAATCTCGAATGAGGTAAGTAAATGATGCAATAAAGCGGCAAATTAAATCCATGCCCATTTTTTTTTCTCTAGCTTCATCGGTTACATATCAATACCTTCTGTGCTAATGCACATGAATACCTGTATACAAACAGATACACACACACACACACACACACACACACACACACACACACACACACACACACACACACACACACACACACACACACACACACAGATTCATTAACTCCTAAAACAATACTCTCAATACACTGTACTCATGTACCGTAACCTTTAAAGGTCTTCAGAGATCTATTTTTATCGTATTTTTCCATCCCCGATGTTTTGAATTTTGTCTTTTGGCTTTACCTGAGTACATGGCGCACTTAGACCAAACGTTTCCAGTCTAACATTTTCCGTAATGCGTTATTTTTTTCCGTGTTCAGTGGCTGGTCATATCGGCTTTTGTGCACGATTCAAAAACTCCTAGTTTAACGGACAACAGTGATAGAATATATTAACGTTCTCTCTCTCTCTTTCCCTCTTTCGTATGTATATGTGTGTGTGTGTGTGTGTGTGTGTGTGTGTGTGCGTGTGCGTGTGTGTGTGTGTGTGTGTGTGTGTGTGTGTGTGTGTGTGTGTGTGTGTGTGTGTGTGTGTGTGTGTGTGTGTGTGTGTGCGTGCGTGCGTGTGTAAAATATAATATAAATATATAGTAATATAATATATACATATATAGTAATATATGTATAATGCACACACAAAAAAAAAAATCTGTTTAACGAACCCATATGCTTTTAGGCCTTGGAATTCACTCGATCGGCATTAGTCGGAAATCCCGTCGTTTAATCAGGCAAAGCTATTTACATTTTACTGTGAATGAGAGCCGAGAGACGGAGGGCCCATGCCTCGTCAACACCACGCTCATCCCTGGTACTATAATTAACTTCTCTTTTCCTCCTTATTGTTACTTTGATATACAAGAAAGTGTACTGGGAACCCTATTCTGCTATTTTTCCCGTTTATCCTCCATGATGTTAGTACAGAGAATAAAAAAAAACTCATGCCACATCGCTCGTCGCGTGGACTACCAAGGACGCTATAGTGATAACGTCACAGAGATCAGTGGCTTGAGTTTTGCTGAAATTTGTAGACTCTCGCAGAAGAGAGATGCTTGGAGGACCTCGGCAATTCAGCTATGAATTAACCGTTCTATGATGATGAAGGCAAGGTGTATATCGAAGTAAAGAGTAAACAAATAGCCATTTCAAGCAGCACTGAATACTCCATATATTCGACCGAGTTCACGTTTGGTCTTGAGTCATACGTGTGTAAACGTGTTTTCCCACGCTGGTGGTACTGCCGGGACTGGAAAACGTATCATGTGACTCTATATCTAACGAGATAAGGTAATACGAATGATGAAATACAAGTAAAAAACGATAATAAAGATAATAGGCAGGTTGCATTATTCCACACACAACATAGCTGGGTGCATGTTGTAATATGTTTCTTCAAATCGCATGTTGAAAAGCGAGCTCTGAAGTCTTCAAGTTGTCAGGTTT